AATGCTTGACTAGATATGTATGCAAAGCGGCTCACGTTTTATTTCATACGTCTGTGTTGCTTCCACACGCTATATGGTAATCTACATAAAGATAATTTTAATATGTAACACTTTTCATATTCAACATCCAAAGTATAATTCTAAAAATATCAAATAAAAAAAAAACCCAGGAAAAGACGGAAAAATACGTCTAAATTTTTTCGCGAAACATATTATATTTTAAACTAACTGTTAAAAATATTGTATGTTAATGGTGGATGGTTGTTGCTAAAAGTTGAATCTAAAATATATGTGTGTGAAAATAGCAGATGCAGAAATATAAAAAAAAATTAATTTTATAAGTTTTTGTAGTTTTTAATAATGTAGCATATGATAAATGGTACGCCAGGTAACTCTTAAACGGGATAAATGTCTCGGATAACTCGTTCGTGCCGGTGGTGCATGTTTAATGCCGGAAGTGGCTCGACTCCCAGACCCCGCCGTCATCCTCTCGCAGCGGTTTCCGCAAGCTCCGTAGGGTCATTAGCCAACCATTCATTATGCAACTGCGAGGCAGTATTGCGTCAATATGGGGGCGGCAGATTGTTGGCCCAATCGATAACAATGCGCCGTGTTTACCAGCCGGATAATCAACAGACGCAGCTTCTACTGCCTCGCCTCCGAAGACCAAGCAAGTGGGAATTACGGTCCGCTTCGCTCCGAATGATATTGCGTTCCGGAAGTGTTACTTTTCCTTGTACCTCCCTACCCGCCGGCGATCCGGCGACGTCGATTCCAGCCATCTCTCTATCTCGCAAGTGCTACTATTCAGCCAGAAGCGAGTTACGATTGCGAGCTTACTGTCTCAAAATGATACACATGATCGAAAAGCTGTTCAAATTTGTAGTCTAATCGTACAGATGCTTACACGATTCAATTATTCCGATATGATTTTCCACTTCGCAATTTACATAGTTGAAGTAATTCGGACGCATATTGTCGGCTTTGCGTATATATACATAAATAGAACATAATGATTTTCTAGAGATTTTATATATTAACACATAATGTGTTTAGTATAATATGGCAATTCTATTTATGAGATATTTTAACAATATATAGAATTAAAACGTATACTCTTATTACTTTAATAGTACACTGTAAAAAGAATCTGGTTGCATTGATTGGAATTCTGGTGGGAAATGGATAAATTAGAATCTTCTGGTTGAATATATCATTCTAGTTGAGATAACCAAAATTCTGATTAATATATATCAGAATTTTCCGGTCATTATTTTCCTCATTTTTAACCAAAAATTGTTTTCAGTATGAGGTTGAAGTTGAACGTAATCCACGGTTTCGTCAGTCCAAGCGTTGCGTATTTTACTACAATTATTTTTATGCCAGTGAACTTCATTATATTTTTTTTAATTCATAAATAAGCAGAACATGAAGTTATTATTTATGAATAATTTTTGGATCATTATTTTTACCCATTTTACATATTGATTAGATAAAATGCCAGATTCGATTTTATCTTTCTGAGATACATTCTGAAAATTTACCTTACCATTAGAGGGGCTAAAATCAATAACGTGAAATTGATGATTCAAAGTTGGTCGCGTTAAACTCGTGTTATATCAGGCGACAAGCTATGCATTTCGATGCGTTCGTTACACGAGCGTCTGCTTCGATCGCGATCGTAGAACGGTCGAGCGCGTTCAATCGCCCAACCAAGCCATACGCCATACAAGTTCAACGTCTATGAAACGGCTAGGGTGGAGGAAAAGAGGCGCCGGAAGTACGGGCGCCGTGAGATGAAACGTCGGGCGCGATATTCCCGCGCGTAGAAGGACGCCGGTTCCCTTTGATCTAAGTTGCCGGGAATGCAAGGCGAAGGGACAGCGTGCGTAACTGTCGCCCAGGAAGTTGGGAGTAATTTGCTTAGTTGGATTAGATTGTGAATTTTGTGCCACGCTGTTTGAGCCGCCGTTCATCTCGTCGCGTCCTCCGTTGCAACCCTATTCCTTCTCCCTTTTCCTTTCCCCTCTCTCTCTCTCTCGCTCTCTCCGGTCCATCATCATCGATCCTTGTCCTTCGTGCTGCCTGCTCTCTCTCTCTCTCTCTGTCGTCAACCTTATAATTACAGTACCATCTTCAGAGATGAACTTGCCAATTCATTGCCCGCTGGAAATACGCACTTTGATCCGGCAAGAAGCGGGTATTAGCCGGTAGGATAGGTCATCGAAATTCGCGACGGTGCGCAACGTTAAGCGCCATCGCCCCGGATAATGCAGACGCTCCCTGATTTCGCGTGCTTTGATCTATCGGATAGAGCCGGGTAAGGGCGATCGCGATCAGCGGAGCCATGCACCCGAGAGTAATATTAATCGGTCATCAAACGCGGGTATGAACGAATCATGCGGCATCATTTGTAATTGTGTCGCGCAAGCGTCAGCTTGGAATAAATTTTCTAAATAAGGAGAGACCGGCTATACGTTTTGTAGCCGACATAGCATTAGAAATTTCTATTTCTATTTATATTTTTTGAAATAATCTTTTAATTTCGAGTAATCTTATATTTTATCATTAATTCAGTTTGTATCTACTTTATTTTAATTAAAAGTAGAAATTATAGCGTTCATATACACTGTAAAAAATATCGTGTGGATTTAACATCGTGCGGTGCCTATATAATTTTCATCGTGTTAATATTAACACCATCATGTATGGATTAAAATCCATGGTGTTAAATCCACATCATATTGATATGATGTGATATTGATATTAATATCAACATAGTGAAAATTATATAAACACCGCATGTTATTAGATTCGCACCAATATTTTTTAGAATGTAAATTATTTCGCATATAGATATTGCATGTAAGTTATGTCACTATCATTACAACGTGGCTTATTCTAAATTGCGCACATGTATATATGTGTGTATGTGTTTGAGAGAGAGAGAGAGAGAGAGAGAGAGAGAGAGAGCGCCACATTTTTCAAATAATCATGCGGATTCACCACGTGATTGGTCACTGAAAGATCTCGCGGCCCGACCCAAATACCATTAGCGTCGAATTATGCACGGAGCTTTCGTGATTCGCGTGTAGATCACGATACCGGCAGACGCGTACGTGTGCACCCGATGGGCGCAGCGGGTGCACGCATGCAGAGAGTCGGATATAATCTCGTCGAAACGGTGGTATAGTATTCTGTATGCAAGCGTTCGGTATATCTGTGAACGGCGCGGCCCGGCCCGGCCCGGCTCGGCTCGACGTGGCGCGGGGGATGCCTAACGGCATTGCGAATCCTATACAAGAGACTTCAGGCACGAATGGCGGATCAATGTTTTATCGATATTGCAGCAGACGTAGCGTTGATGTACGTCTCGAGTCGGCAATACGTATATTGCGCGTGCTTTCTGCCGTTTGCAAGAGGATTTATGGATTAGCGTTTGTTTATTGTCGCCCTTGCTACGATTTTCCCCGTCGGCAACTCGCGCTTTTTTTACCCGGATGATTCGCAGACGTGGAGAAGGGCATTAAAATGGGCGATCCGAGAAAAAACGGGGAAGACTCGCGGCTCGATATGCATGTTTTGTGACGATTCCTCTTCCATCTTTCTTGCTTTCTTTAACCGGCTGAAGTATATCCGGGAAGTACATCCGGGAAGATACGCTCGGAAGATGAGCGTTATCCATCGTTTTTTAAAGCTCTTGCAAGTTGGGATATTATTTATCCGCATAAACGAATAATTAAACTTTTTCTCCACGTAAATAAATTACAAAACTGCGCTCGCTATATGCTCGAGATATGAAAAAAAAATGTAACAATTTTCGTCATTATAAAATGAAAAAAAAAAAGTTCGTTCGACGAAGAAGCAACAGAATTTCCGTAATGGCCGGAGGACGCATGAACGAAACATGTTAGTAGACAAAGAAGCGATGTGCCTAGCTCATGGTTGGGCCATGCATGAACGCGCGCCTAGAATCCGCGATGTCGACAGCAGAGAAGGTAGAAGATGCGAAGGAGTAGAACGGAGAGGGAGGACCAGAGAGGTTACTGCCGTCAGGAAACTTTTGTTTAAAATTGGAATTCCTTTGCGGCTCGTTGGGACTAGGAATGCAGATAGAGCGGAGGCGACGAAAACCATGAGTGGGCGAGACGAGGTCGCCGGTGGAACGGAAGAAATGCGAGTAGCTGAAAAAGGCGACGTACGATATTGTTTCATCATAAAGGGAAGCTCCTTGCTCCGTGAAGGAAAGCTCTTAAGGAACAACGCCGTCAAAACTTAAGCGCGTGTTGACGCAGCTTCTTACGTAAACATTTTGTTATACACTGCGGATTTTCTCGGTCGGGTATTTTCGTAAATTAGTGCAACGCGCGTTGTCGCATATCAATCATGCACAACGACTACTGGTAAAGAGTGACGTAAATGAATAGTAGTAATAAACAGTTAGTAGTAATAGACAGGCAATAAACGCGGACTAATAACAGATAACAATAACAGATGGTTTTATTTGGGCGTGTCATCCAAGAGATTGTAGAATTTAATAATTTCTAAATGGATTTTTTATACTAATTATCCAGACAACATGTATATGTCTAAACAATGTCTTTATGATTGTTTTGACGGCATGAAGACGTCTTTCAGACATGCGTGTTGTCTGAGTATTTACGCCAATTTACATAGTTTGTTGAAGTTATCACGTAAATTTTCGTAACGCGAGTTTCAGCGAGAGTGAATGAGATTCGTGACTTTGAGCTGCGCGGAATTTATACGTCTGCGATAAGCACGTAACAATTGAACAATTATGTGTTATTTGGCCGAATGCGGTAATCGTTTAATTAATTTGCAGGTATCTCACGTACGCCTGGAATCATGTTCCTGCTACGTGTGCCACTACGTGGCTAAACGCATTAACCCATAATTATCGAAATTACAGACCCGAGCAGCAGCCAACCGTGGAGTCTCCTCACCGCCGTCTCCCAAGATTCTCCTCTCGGCCTATTGCGGATACTTAGGTAAGCATCCCATCTCGCTAATTATTCGAACGCAACCGCAACTTCTACACGGTCCTCCTCTTTCCGCGCTATAGTTTTGCGAACTTAAGAAAGCGGATTACGACGGCTTGATCGTTTAAGAAATTCACTTGGCAAGAAATTCACTTTTTGTGGCGAACCGCGTAATTAAGTTCACGCGCGTCGGCTGTAAGAATCCGAATCGCTGTTTGCGTACGAGCGAGTTTCAGGAATGTTGAAAACGCGAGAGTGGCGAATATTTTCGAGGAGAGGTGGCACGAGGACGTAGAGAACGTCTTTAATTTGCAGTTGGAACGACATCGCGAGGGGACGAAGGGAACGATGTCTCTCGTTGGAATTTCGCATCGGAATCGATCGCCCGGAACTATGAAATATCGCCATCGACGATGACGTATTTCATTTCGCCCGTCAATTTTTTTTAAAGGCAAGCATCACGGATATCGACGACCCTTCAATGGAATAACGGATCTCTCTCGAAAAAAAAAAAGAAATTCCGCCGCGTTGCAGCCGAGGTGTAATTGCGGATGCAGTAAATACTTACCCGGAGCAGCGACAATATACAAACGCGGAAGCAAAAAGACTGATTAGAGAGACGCGATGTAATTAAAAAAAGTTTTGTTCCGTTTTACGTTAAGCTCTGTTTATAACACAATAGCGGCGATAGTGGTTCGTTTCGCACACCGACGTTGTCTCCAAATGGACGGAGGTCCTAATTCGTATTAAAATTAATCTTACGAAAAGACCCGTGTAAAGTATGAAAACTTAGCCGGCCGCGGTGAACTTTTTCTATTAGGCATTATCTAGATTCCGAAACACCGCTTATTTCCGGCTAGAAAGTGTTTTATTTGTTAATGCTAGACCGTCTTATCATACTCGTTATTATTCAAGAGTCACGAAGTACTGCGTACACGCGATCGTTACATACCGTAAAATGGTCTCTCGGAATGGTATTTCCTAGCTGGACAGCTTCTTTCAAAGTTCGTCATTTTTTTTAAAGCGTTATTATCACTTTCAGGAACTCAGGTTTTTCTATCAATAAAGAAATATCTTTAATATAAAATAAAAAAATTAATATAAAAAAATCTTACGTTTATAGTACTTGGAGATCCATAAATAAAATAATTTGAATGATAATTTTAAAGTCATGCAAAAGAAATATACGTATTTCATATCTGGATGACATATGGGAAACGTTGGAATTGCATTAAACGTGATTAAGCCTGACAAAGAGATAAGTATAATGAATAGTACGCTAATGTGAATGTAGGTGAATTTTTACTATTACTTCCTACAAAGAGAATTTCGCCCTCTCTCTCTCTCTTTCTCTCTCTGTGCTAAGTGTTTCTCCAGACTTTTATCTTGATGAGTTCTGGATGGGGTGTGGTTGATTCTGTCAAGAAAATTTACTAGCGATTCTGACGTCCAGCAATTAGAGAAAGTAGGTGCATAAAGTTTCTTCGACTCGACTCGTAACAAAAGTGCTTTCATGATCATTTGCTAATTCGCTAAATATCAAAGATTATACGAAATATTTTAATTCACTTTTTGTTCATAAGCATTTTTAAATATTATTTTAAATCTATTGCAATAAAAATGAAAATTATTTTTTTATAAAAGATATTAGATACAATATATAATGCATACACATATTTATATATTTATACAATATAGTATTATTAAAATTTTGGTATTATAGTCTTTTGTTATTGTGAAAATCATGATTAATTATTTGCACTATTTTTGTTTTTTTCTATTAATCGATATTGACAATAATTACACAAATAAAATACTAACATAAATAAAATACTACTATAAATGCCCGCAATAATATTCATCGTTGTTACAATTTCAGTTATTTTTTAAAAAATTATGCAATGTTATTATTATATAATATATGTTACATACGTAACACTGACGCAATTTGTAAGCAATCCTATTTCTTCATTAAAATTAATATTTATAATATGTTCAATTAACATATTTTAATAAATTTAACATTTACGATACATTAACTAACACATTTTGTTTATTTATCTTAGAATTTTTGTTTTATAAAACATTTTTATACGTGCATTATTTTATTCGTTTATTTTCTCATAAGTAAAGTATGTTATTTTAACATTAAGAAACGTTGAATATCAATTTAATACTAAATATTTAAATAGTAATTATATCATGTTACATTTAACACTAACAATGTACTGAAAATTCGATATAGAATTTTAATAAGGATTTGAGTGGACCGTTTCTAACACAAATACAGAATATTTTTTACTGTTACTATTTTTTTATTTTAGTCCGCTCTATTATATTTTGAAAAATTGATTCTCGAAACCACGGCAATATGCAGGTGAAGAGTGATAGGCAAAACACAGTGGTTCATGCGTAGGTACATGGAGTTCGACAAAAGTTTGTTTTCCAGTCGCGCTGGCGCATTCCAGCGTAGAACTTTATGCTAATTCGACGCGCCGACTGTACAACATTAATAGAAGTCCAACTAGCCGTCGCAGTAGCGGTTCCCACGAGCGCAAACGCGCGTTACACGGATGTCCCTTGTGAGGATGATGGGACAAAGTCGAGAGGATAATGCATCGATTACGCAATCCTCGCCTATGATCGTTCGGGTAGTTGGAAGCGACGACCGATCGGATAACCGTGTGTATTACACGTAGACTAATACGCTGTCATCCAATAGGAATGCTCAAACTCGAAACCGGCTTAACAAACAACCAGCTTGAGTCTGCATTGTGTGCATTTTACATAGAGATGAACGTAAGTGTGCGTTTGTGCGTCACCGCTGCGGAGAGAAGCACGAGCGAACGAAGTCAAGGGTTCCTCGCTACAGGCGTCACAACTCATCCTAATTACATCTACCCTCGTTTCCGGATTCTGGGGGCTTCCCGTCAGGAGAGTATACTAGTACTTAATTAGTATTGCCTACCGGACCTGCTGGCGCTGCAATTGAGATGTTTAACAATGTTTCCGTTCCCCGGAGAATTATTATATTCCGATTTAATTTACAATAGCAATTATTTTCGTTACGAAAAGAAAAGTATTCACAGATTTAGGAAATACAGGAGTACATACATCTTAAATTTCTGCATCTTAAATAAATAAAATCATATTAATTTCCTAAAGGTATATTGAGATACACTTAGCTTTCGTATAAAAATACATTAATACGATATATGTCATTATTCGTAAATGTCTTTTAACGCGTACTAAACGTTAATTGATATCATAAGATATTATACATATCTTTTATACAAATGATTTGCTAATTAATTTATCCCTTTCGTGTAAATTGATTTAACGCTCAGCCTATCTTTAAATTTAATTATAACAAATCCGATGTGACTAACGAGCAAGTGGTTGTCGGGTTGTCTGATTATATACGGTGCGTCGAGGAGCACAGCGCTCCGGTTTCGCAAATCATTTATAACCTAGCATTAAAAGATCTTAACGCTCGTGTAGCGTAAAAAATGAACAGGCCGACCAAGTCGGGCCCACTAGCAATTTCGTCTCCCCGGGACATTCTTTCTAATTACTAGAGATTTATTAACGTTGTCGCTGCACAATCCACTTCTTGCATCCCGTACCACCTCCTGCGCGTTTCCCTTAAGCAAGTTCACTTGCCCTATCCCGTGACGATCATTCCTAAAGTAATTGCTCTTGCCGTGGTCTGAGCTAAAAATCAGAGACGCGAAACTTTCGTTTATTCTCAGCAGCCATGTAATCGTTTTTATTTTCTACCTCCGTTATATTCTATCAATTTAATATAGCAGCGTTTTGTACCTACTGCAAGCAATAATGACGGTTTAAAAGCGTTGTTTGTGTTTAATTTATTTTTAATCACTTATAAATATTATAAAATCTAATTCTTCTCATGCAAATCCGTTCTTCTTGATATTCTAAATTCAATTTATTATACTTTAAATTTAGAATATTATACAAATATAAATATTTAATAATCATATTTAATTAAAAATTTGATCATTTTTATTTGTAACGTGAAGATGATTTATTTTTTAAATAATAATCTAGATTTATTGAATATATAATAGTGAGAATTGAAATGATAAAGATATATAGTCTTGTTAGGGTTTAAATAAGAAGGCATTAAGTTAAGCAGAGCTAAGCAAGCTACAAGGGTATTTCGGTGTAATGGGGCGAATCCTATTTGATACTTAACAACTTTTGTGGTTCAGCGTTTCTTTATCTTCCTGCTTTACTCCATCAACGAGTTGCAAGCTGTAAATATGTTTAAAATTCTCGAAAAATCTCGCAACTAATTTTAAAATATTCATTACATTATACAATATAATAACAATATTATTATATTAGGTGTTGGAATTAATTCGTAGCGTTTTTAAATGAAAGAATGTTATTTATTTCACATGAGCATTAAAAAATACATTAATGAAAGTACTTCCCATCACTTGTAAAACGCTACGAATTAATTCCAACACCTAATATATATATAATATATTATATATATAATATATATTTATATACAATCATTAAATATAATATAAATTATACTCCGTGATATTAATCCAGATAATAATATACATATTCTGTATTGTAACTCAAATTACATTGTATTATAAATTATATCGTATTTGATATAACCACATTTGCCATAATGCGATGTTGGATACAACACAGCTTGATGATGACATTTACACTATCATGTCACCTATTCTAGCTAAATTTGTATATTATCTTGATTCGTGCATCTCTCTGAAATGATTTGGAAATAAGTGACTCATTATTTTGTAAGCTCGTTGAAAAGATTATTTCACGAAAAGATACGCATCTTCGTACCATCGAGTTTCAGATTTTAACAGTAGCTGATTGGGGTGAGGCCGGATGACGAAGAAAAATGGGCAGCAATTTTCTTTAAGGGTAGTCCGACGAACGCGAAGTAAGAAAGTCAAATTGTTAGGTACGTTCCTAAAATCACAGATGAATCGAAATTG